AATAATAATAATAATAATAATAATAATAATAATAATAATAATAATAATAATAATAAAAATAAAAATAAAAATAAAAATAATTGAGTTAAACCTTATAAAATCATACCCCTTCACTCTCCCCAAGACAAAATTATGCATGGTTAAATTAAATGAGAAACATAAAAAAATTATGATTTAAAAATAATTTATATGATTTTTTTAATCAAATGTTAGGATTTAAGATATTGTTTCAAATATATATTTTTTATGATGTGATAGTTTCACATGTGTTTGTTTTACCATATGAATATTTTTTACGTGTGTTTTTTGTTTCAATAAGTGGACCAAATAATAATCACATGTAATTTTTTGAACACCAGGAGAACATAAACATATGTGAAACACTATCTTAAATCATAGTTTTTTATGAAAGAAAAAAATCACGTAAAAATATGTTTATATCGGTTCTCACAGGGTTGTAATCTTTTTATGGTTCTCATTTGATTATCATTCTATATATATACACACACACACCCACCCCCGTTCACATGTTTTTTTCCCATCTAATATTAGAATTTAAAATATAGATTAACATATATTTGTTGCATAATATGATTGTTTTACATATACTTGTTTTATAATTGTGAAACTATTTTACATGTATTTTAATGAAAACAAACACGTAAAAAACGTTCACATTGTGAACAAATGCCTTGGCAGAAGAAAAAATAATGTAAAATAACAGATAATGCACTGGTTCTCATAGTTATTACAATACATTTGAGGTTCGATGTAGATAATCAAGGGCGTAGATTAAACTGGTTTCTCTATTAACTCTCAACCTCATCTTTAATTGATTTGATAATTGCTATGAAATAACAGATGATGCACTAGTTCTCACAGTTATCATAATATATTTGAGGTTTGATTTAGTTAATCAATCAAGGGTGTGGATTAAATTGGTTCCTCTATCAACTTTCAACTGCATTTTTAGCTAATTTGATAACCGCCTCTAAATTTCAAAACACATAAAAATTAAGGATTGAGATTATTTGTAGGATTTGTAACAGTTACATGATTTGTATTTAAAACTTCCCCTCTCTCTCTATGTATATACGTAGAGAGAGAGAGAGTTATGATGAGACCCTTTTAAGCCTTTCGATTGGTTGATTTTTTAACCTAATCACTAAAAAAACATGTACCTTTAACTACTTTCAATTGATAATTACGACAAAACTTCATCTAACTTAATTTTCACATTCGTCTTTACTTCGAGTCATCTTCATGAAATTCTACATATTTTCAATCACTCTCACATGCAAAAGTTTGATAAAAGACCATGTAAAGTATATGAAGGTTTTGTTCTTACATTCTCACTAAAAAATTCATTCTTACTAAAACCTACCCATATGTATATATACATACACACACATAGGGATGGCAACGGGGCCGGGGGCATCGGGGATTGCACTTCCCATCCCCGTCCCCGATCCCCACTCCCCATCCCCATCCCCATCCCCGTCCCCATCCCCGCTGGGGAATGTGATTACATCCCCATCCCCATCCCCATCCCCATCCCCATCCCCATGGGGAATCGGGGATTTTTCCCCGGATGTGAAATTGCATTTTTTGCTTGAATAAAGAGCATTATATTTATTGATTTGTAAATGTTTAAAGCTAGAAATTT